GACATAGGCAGACAAGGTTCTTTGGGTGAATCTGATATCTTTTATTTAAGTTGGTCTAATAAAAGATATGAGGTTCACCCAAAGAATCTTGTCTGCCTGGATCAAAAGGAGGATTTTTAAGACAGGTCTTGACTAGTTTTATTTGGCCATTAGATGGCAGCGTTACAGAACGGTTCATAATTTTTTCCTTTAAACTTAAAATTTTATAGTCCACACAAACCATCAACCAGCACAGATTAAATTAGTATGAAACTGTTATTAGTTGGACCATATCAGTTAAGCTAATGCAAGGCTTATAAGGGATTAAGTTATGGCTTTGTTTCAAACTATGCTTACATGTTTATATTGAATACCTTGGATTATATGAGCAGTGTTTTAAAAATGTTCTACACCTGCAGTTTGCTTGTATCTTGTTTTTTTCTAAATTTGATCAATAGAAGTGAAAGTAATCTGATTTTATAAAATTCTGCTACATGGCATTAGTATAATTTTAACTAACAAATAAAATCTACCATTATTCTCGATACAAGCTTTACTTGCCTTTGCAAATGTTCTGCATCTAAATGCAAACATTACATATGATTCCCTGAGCCTTGAGGAAGACCACTTGACTCCTGAACGTTGTCTGACAGCTCTCCCAACTACACAGTTGCCCCAATAAAGATCACAAAGAATCTTTTGCCTCTTATAACTCCCTCTAATTCTGTGGCGCTCAACATTTTTAGACTCAAGGCACCCCCATTGCTTTTCTGAATTTGGTGGCACTCCGTTTCAAAGAAAGAACGCATTTATTATAGTGCAATTCTATTGCAAGGAACTCGGAAAGACTACCACAGGTCAGAATAATGTTTTTGACACTAAGGATTCCCATTTCAAATGTGAATCATGTGTAGGTGTTTGTACAGCTAACAGCATGACTATTACACAGTACCCCACAGCACCCTTAAAAGGGACCTCTGAGCACTGCCGGGTGCTGAGACACCCTGGTTAAGACTCACTGTTCATGAAAAAAATTAAATACAGACTTACAGCCAGAATTAGTAGCAGTGCTTACTGTTAAGGGCATCTGATGCCTTCATTTCAGAGCCCCTATTTTCAGTTACTTACTGTTACGCTGAACTTATCCTTCTAGCTGACAATACCTGTGCTAGCTTTCTGCTTCACTCTGAAGTTAAAGACAAGATTCAGTAAAAACATCACATTTCCAAGAAAGTATCTTGGGGAAGCCCTATTTATCCACATAAAAGTTTTACTAACGCTTCCTTTGAGAAAGGCAAGCACCTTTGGGCTGTGGAACAGGAACTTTAAATTTGCTGTGGTGGTGTGGGATGGAATGCATCTTTTTTCCATCCCTCAGAAAAGCCACCCCGATTGGGCTGACTCATCTGTGGTGGCAGGTACCAGAAATAAGAGCAGCAACATTGACACTGGCATGCTTCCTTCCTTCCTGTTGTCCCCGAGGCTGCGTGGGAGGGGGGACAGGAGCCAGCATTACTGGACTACAGAAATGAGCTGCACAGGAGATGGGTTGGGGGACAACAGTGAGGGCAAAGCCATGTTCCAACTGCACGGTATTGCGAAGAGAAATTTAATAACACTTGGGAAGCACTTGTGTGTGCAACAGAAATACCTATAATTCTGTATTCAAGGTTTGGATGGTGCACACGGGGGGTCATGGGGCCTCATTCATTGATGAAAATAAAAAAAATGTGAAACAGCGACCTGGTCAGTAAGTGTCGTTGATCTGGCCTGTGGAATGAATGAGGCAAAGGACCAGGGAAGAAAATGCGTTCCTCCTCAAGAGTACCTTGCCAGATCAGGATAGGGACTTCCTTTGTGAGGTTACTAGTAGCATCGCTTGGTGGGGTTTGGCAAGATTACTTTGCCTCATTTCAGTAGCTGTAGGCCAAAAAAATCTTATGAAAAGTATCAGGCAAGTTAACAGGTCTGTAAGGATTTTGAGTAATTTAAGATCTTGGGTCAGATCCCAGACATCACCTAAACAGTGGAAAAAAGTTCCAAAACCAAAATAAAAGAGCAAAGCCGGGGGTGGGGGGGGCATGGCAAAGCATGTATTGTACATTCACTCAACCAGGCACAGAGAGCAATAATGTATGTTCTGTAGATAGATACTTATAGCTTCCCTTTTGTACCGAGTGACTCAGCTGCATAACTCCGAGCAATGCTTTCGCCACGTGAGATCTGAGTGAAAGGTTGGCGTCTAATTTAGAAAGACAAGGACATCCCCAAGGTTTGTTATGAAGAAGAGACAGTAGCTTCTTTGGTAACTGTTTATAAAAAAAACCAAAAACACTTTTCTGATAAATTAAGTTTCAAGTCTTTTTAATAGTCACCAGGGATTTTGGTTCTCTCTGATAAAAAAAAAAAAATCCCCAATTTTTGGTTTAAAAAAAAAAATGTAACCCAAAATCCATATTTTTCTGTGATTAAAATGAAATGCAGTTAAAAATGACTAACATTTTCTGTGCAGAACTGCAAGTGATGAGTTGAAGAGCTGCTTGTAGCCTGGGAGCTGTGGTCTGAAGCCTTAAGTAGGTTATTTTGGAAGCTGAAAGAGTTATCTACAAAGCAGATGGACTTGATAATTCAGACAGGCAAGGAGCTAGGTAAAAGAATTAAATCAACCTTTCAGCATCTTCTGAGAATTCCCAACCACGGACACAAAAGTCAAAAAACTATTTCCAAACCTATTTGGCCTGCATTGGTAGATGTCATATAGGCCTGGTAGCATCCTGAATGCTCTCACAAAGATGCCAAACCCATGAAAGGTGGAGTAGCTGATACTAAGATGTAGCCAGCCCTTTGGAAAAGGCATCTCGCCCACCTACGGGGAAAGAAGAAATGAAAGCTTTATAGTTGTTGATCATCTCTTTGTTCCCATCTGTCAACCGCAGTTCAGGCCAGTTGGCTCATCTAACATTTGAACTGAAAACCTTTGCAAAATCAAAGGCAGCTAAAACGACTTGGGAACCACTGAAGTGACACACTGACCTACCCCCGTTTCTACAGTTTGATGCCATCACCAAGACTTAGGCACTGTTGCCAAGATGAAGTTTCCAAAGCTTTGCCAAGAGATTAGATTCCAGTTGTCCTGGAAATGATTTTGATGGGATAGTAAGAGAAATTATACATTTGAGTTACTGGCAGTTTCTCTTGCTAAATACTGAAATGTCTGGACTTTCCATCTCTGAGGAAGTTAAGACCATTTTGATAGGCACACCCTGGTAAAACAGGTACTTTATAAGCACATGATTGGATTTTACCACTGCCTGGAAAGAAAAACACTCTTAACTTTCAGGCAGACTCAGCCCCACACATAGTATTAGTCATAGTTTGCATTTGCAGATAGCTGCTGCTGTGTGTTCTTGAGTTTTCTATCAGGAAACGAGGGGGAAGTGGGTGAACACCGACCTGAATGGCATGAACCTGCCTTACTGAAGCAGGCAGATGTGGCCAAGCCCAGAGCCCAATCTGGTCAGCCTCTACCTCCCAAAGTTATACCGTGCCTTTGGTTTAGAAATCAGACCAGCAGCTCAGGAGATCAGACCCTCAAGAGACTTTCTACGGTTACAATCAAATTGGGCACATTGCAAAACTAGCTTCCCAGCGGTGAGACTCCGTGACTTCTCCTGCAAGCTGGACACGAAGCACGTGCAAAAAAAGAAAGACAGCTTCACTCTGGGTGTGGAGGAGGTTTCTATTTTTATTCTGATCTAGTCAAATTTGCTTCTCTCTCCCATAAAGAGCTCTTAGGAGTGTCTAAGCAATAACCTTCCCCTGAGTCAGTGTGGAGCCGCTCCCAGGGCGATGCTAGAGCACAGCTTGTGCCGGGGGGGTAAGAAACCTGAAGGGGCCTGTAAAGATCTTGCCCACTTGTGTTAGTAAAGATATCATGCCACTTTTTTCTACACATGTACATGTTCTTCTGCTTGGCCCAATTCAAACTAGCAATACAAGGAGTCACGCAAGCACACCGCAATCTCACTTAATAAAAGCAAGTCTTGAGCTTCTGTGGCTTTGTAAACAAGCTGATTATTTTTTTTTTAAAGGTCTCATGATCTTTAAGCCAAGCGTATGATTCAGGGGAATCTGACTCATGCTCTCTAAATGCATCAGGCTGGCAAGAATATGGATAAGGCTGGTCATCCCCAGCCCTGAGCTGCTGTACCATGCCCCTTTTCACTCTTTTGCCCCTCATCCCTGCCTCTTGCCTGTGTTACCAGGTTTGGTCAGCGACCTTTCAAACCTCCTTTGAGATCCTTGTAGGATTTGGGGAGCACAAAGACGTCCGACTATTGTCCAAATGCCGGCGCACAGAAAACGTCACGTTCAAATGCAACGGGGCGAAAGCGGCACGCGCTTGCCGCTCACTGTGCCCCTGGTCTAAATTAAGGCCATTTCTCCCCCTGTTTGAAACAGGTTGGCACGATACAAGCAGCACTGAAATTCTAGTTTGAGCAGAGCTTTCCGCCTGCTCCCCCGCCTGCGGCAGCAGACAAGAGCTTGACTCTTTCTAAGAACAAGCAACATTTTTCTGGCCTCAACAGGGCCCCAGGCCTGCTCCCAGATGCCCTAAGGCAGCGATTCCCAAACGCCGACAGATTTCAAAGTGACACCGCCTGACGTACCACCAGCAAATTGTTGTCCTATAAAGTGATTAAAACAAATGTGCGGACCGCTGGTGGTCCCCGCACCGCAGACTGGGCACCGCTTGCTCTGGAGGCCGGGCCCAGCACCAGAGGGAGCAAAGGGGCAACCTGGCCCGGAGAGGAAGGGGCGCGGCGGCCCCCCGGGCAGCAGGGGGCGCGGTGCTGGGTGGCGCGGCTCTGCTCGAGTCCGCACTTCGGCGAGGTCAAAGGTCGCTGTGTACACAGGGCCTCTGCACTGCGCAGGCGCCATCTGCCAGATAGGAAAGCCAGAGCGAAAAGTTTCGCCGCGCCGCGCCCCGCCCCGCCCCACGTGACCGCCGGGAAGTGCCCGCCTCAGCCCCCGGGTTTCACTTTCCGACCCGGAGCCGGAGCCGGAGCCACAGCCATGGCCGCGCCGGCGCTGGCGGGGCTGGAGGACGAGCTGACCTGCTCCATCTGCCTCTGCCTCTTCGAGAGCCCCGTGACCACCCCGTGCGGCCACAACTTCTGCGCCGCCTGCCTGGACATCACGTGGGCCGGCCTGCGGGACGCCTTCAGCTGCCCGCAGTGCCGCAGCCCCTTCGCCCGCAAGCCCGAGCTGCGCAAGAACACGGTGCTGTGCCGCGTGGTGGAGCAGCTGCAGGCGGGCCCCGACGCCCCCGCGGAGGGCAAGGCGGGCGGCGAGCCGGAGGGCAAGGCGGGCGGCGAGCTGGGCCCCTCTCAGGTGGCTTGCGACAGCTGCCCAGAGGCGGTGGCTGCCGTGCAGACCTGCCTCACCTGCATGGCCTCCTTCTGCGCCGAGCACCTGCGCCCGCACCACGAGAGCCTGGCCTTCCGCGTGCACGAGCTGAGCGCCCCGGTGCGCAACCTGCAGCAGAAGCTGTGCCAGGACCACCACAAGCTGCTGGACTTCTACTGCCCCGAGCACCGCAGCTGCATCTGCTGCATCTGCCTGGTGGGCCACAAGGCCTGTTCGGCCAGCTCCCTGCCCGAGGCCAAGGCGCAGATCGAGGTGAGCGGGCGCGTGTGCACGCAGGCCCACGGGTGCGTCTCAGGGACGAGGACCCCGGGGAGCGGTCGGTCGGCAGCCCGCCAACTCCAGGAGGATCCCGCCCTTGGCTTGTGGATGGGGCTCGAGGCGACCTAAAGAGCACAGGCCTCGAGCCCCGGGTCTGGCTGCAGAAGTGGCAGGTCTTTCCTCAGCTGGGGGAAGAGCAGGCTGCAAATCCTCTCCTTCCCGCTCTGCAGACAGGACACTTCACCTGGGAGTGGGCTGCCGCTTGGGTGAGGCTGCTGTGCCCTCGGGAGGTGGTGTTGGCAGCCAGCCGCCATCGATTTTGGGGCTGGGCTCGCTGGGCCGTTACTTGAAATCCACCTTTTCCCCCCTGCAGACAAGTTGAGCCGTGTCCCTTGAGCTCTTCCCAACATCATAAAATTGCCCTAGGAAGCAGAGGGGAGGACCCGGCTATGCCACCATGCAATGGATGCGCTGTCCCCGCTGCCCTTTGGAAGTGCTTTTATACCCAGGGCAGGAACACAGAAGCAGTCTCCGGTGCTCGGATGGCTGCCGGCCTTATTGCAAGCCCTGCTTTGCCCAGGTGCGTGCACTGAGCGGGGACACAAATAGATCCACAGCTGTTCACGGCCGTTGGCTCTGAGCTCTGCCACATCTGGCTGGTCCAGGCACGGCGTCTTGAACGCACACATCCAGGACCATTGCGAGACGGCAGAACCGCTCTGCCATTGTCCCTTGCGCTCCAGCCGCAAGCTTGGTTCTCAAAAGCTGCCGAGCACCTGACAGTCCCTGCTGAATCGGAAGCATTTGGGACTGTGGAAACCAGACTGTGCAACTGAATCTAGAGGTGCCCTGATGTTCAAAGATGCTGTGGGAAGAAGCAGAGCTCAGAAAGACGTCTCAACTCACATAATTAGGAGAGAACAAGTTGGGGCTGGTGGAGAGGGTGCGGGGGGAAGAATGGGAGGAAGTCACAGCAGTTGGGGGCATGGACAGCTGGTGCAGCAGGTGCTGGGTATTGTCCTGTTAGAGGAGGGCCCTGCGCTATGACTCCTTCGCATGCTCTTGGCTACATCCCTGGCGTGCTCTAACCCCACAAGCCCATGCAGGTCCAGGCTTGGGTGACTTCAATCCAGCCTGCAGCTTTAGGCATCCCAGCCTGCCAGCTAGCGGCTTCCATTTGTATTTTGGAAATCACTGGAGACTAGCAGTTGAATCCTGCGCTTTGTCAGCAAAGTGGCAACTCTTGTGACTCACTGAATCCTGTGGGAAGGGTGGGCCGGAGCATGAACCTGCAGGAGACAACACAGCTGTCCCCCCAAGCACTAGCCCCACTTGTAGCCAGCTCCTTCCAAGTGGCAGGCCTCTGGGTCTGCCTATACAGAGGAGAGCTTTTGCTAAAGTTTTCCTTAAGAAGTTAAGACACGGGGAGTTCAGGAGCTGCCTGGTAGGGCCGTGCAAAACTCCACCGGCAGTTTCTTTTCGACCTTGAAATGGAGAGCTTCGAAACAGCCTCGAAAGGAAACGAGACGAGGCAAAACGCTTTGAGTTTGGAAGCTGGAGCTGGGCTTACCTGCAGGGAAACAGAAACTAAAGTGAGGAGAGGGAGGGGGAAGCAGTGGTCTTGTTATTATTGACTGCACAGCTGGCCAGTGACTGCCATCCTTCCTCGAGCCCCCTTCCAATCCCAGCGCTGTGGGGGAGGGATGAAAAAAACAGCATAAAAGGCAGCGTTGTTTGAAGTGCCCTGCTTTCTGCCTTGGCGGCAGTTGAGTGAGGGCACACCTTAACCCCCCGCCCCATGTCACAAGTTTCGTCTGTCAGCAGCCAGAGGTGCAGGGCCCCAGACCCCAGGAGCCCTGCACTGATCCCCTCGACAGCTGGCAGGCTTCATGGCTGCAGCAGGGGCCACCATCCCTGCAGCTGTCACCCCGCTGCGCCTTAACACACGCAGTGTCACCCATGTCACGAGTTTTGTTGGTCAGCAGCTTGAGGGGCAGTTCCCCTTCAAACCCCTGCACCTAGCTCCTTGCAACGTGGCAGGCTTCATGCCCTCAGAAGGGACTACTATTCCTTCAAGTTTCATCCAAATCAAGCCAGAAATGACAAAAGTTACAGGCTGTTTCAAGCTCTCCCATTACAGCCGATGGGCAGAACATTGAAACAGCAAAACGGTTTTGATGAAATGAAACAGAACAGCAGTTTTGAATTGAAATGAGATGCAATGGTGCCGTTTTGCACAGCCCTACTGCCTGGTTTATTAAGGGCCCAATCCTACTGTGGCTGGATTGTTCTTCATGTTTACAAGGTAAAACCAAAGCAAGCAGGGCAGAGTCCTTTAGCAGCGCGCTGGGAAGAACTTGAGCCGAAGTCAGGAAGCATTCTGGAGCCCAGGAAGGAGCCTGTTTCTCAGGGTCAAGGACATACTGACTGCAGTATTTCCTTGCTACCCACAAGATAAGAAAGAGCCTTCCCATTATTTTAGTTTAAGTCAGGGAGGGCCAAGAAGGCCACAGCGCTAAGGGTAGTTTCATAGTTGGTCGGGTCGGAAGGGCAGATCATCAAGTCCGACCCCCTGCCATGGCAGGA